CACACACACACACACACACACACACCATCAAGCTTAAGTGGTTTCACTCTGCATGCAAACCAATCCGGGCGTGCTATACTATATGTATTATATCAGAAGTAGATAATAGGGAACCTATTATCTACTTCTGATTATATCAATATATTGACAAAATACATATAGTATAGCACGCCCAGATTGGATTGCATGCAGAGTGAAACAGCAGAGTGCATGCAGAGTGATGGTAGCCTTCATCGAAGGGTCATGGCATGACCTCACCGGTGACGACACTGCAATGTCATAGCATAACCTCACCGGTGACGACATTGCAAGGTCATAGCATGACCTCATCGCTGTCCTCATCGTGGGGGGCCGCAGCGTGACCTCACCGGTGACACATCACGTCATTGCGCGTCACCGCAGTCTCTCATAGCGTGACGCGCCGGCGGGCGGTGACACCGCGACACGACGCGACACGCGAGACAGAGCTTCACTAGTTGGCTCTCGTCTATTCATCGGCCACCATGAGCGTAGACTGCGGCGGATCGGCGGTGATGCTCCCGCCATTCTCGCGACAGATTACCGTCGGTAGCGGAAGCGCTGGCTCATTGGCTTTATTGCTAATGCTCGCTCGCTCGCGCACCGATACGCACCCCCGCGTGCGTACATACACGTACACGCATCCCTGCCGATCCAACCCCCTCCCTCCTCTCCGTCGGGGGCTTCCGCGCTAGCCGACAATGCGAGAGATTACGTGTGGTTTTTCGCTCGCTCGCGCACCGACACGCACCCACCTCCCTGCCGATCCAACCCCCCTCCCTGACGATCCAACCTCCTCCCTGCCGATCCAAACCCCCTCCCTCTCCGTCGGGGGGCTTCCGCGCTACAATGCGAAAGATCACGTGTGTTTTTCGCTCGCTCGCACAGCGAGAGGCACCCCTGCACGCACCCCTGCCGATCCAACCCCCTCCCTCACCTCCATCAGGGAACCCCTTCCCCCCATCGGGGAACCACCTCCCCTCCGTCGATGGCTTCCTCTAGTCGACAATGCGAGAGAATACGTGTGTTTTTTTTTCGCTAGCCGCGTACGGCAACGTTGAGCCCGTGGCCCGTCGCCCGTAATTACCACATGGCGTTGACTCACTCCGCTGATGCAGCATCGTGCCGTAAAATAGAAGCCGATGCCATGCGACTGAAGCCACGAGCGAAAGCCACGCGATCGTAAATGCGCGCGTATTGTTTGAGCTGGCCACAAAGGCAGTGGGACACAGAAATCGATCGATTTCGTGACATATTCCACGTAAAATGCCCTCCCGATGCTTGTATAGCTGTCAGCCTGATAGCCGTGATGGCTTCAACTATAACAGTCACATCCACTCTGCTTTGGCGAATTCCCCTCTCTGCCCTTCCACCCATCAGACATAGACACAGGAAGCCATGTAGGCAGCGCTGCCCCCCCCCCACCAAATACGTACGTATACTTGTGATAAACACGAGTTCCATCTGTTGCCTGGAACAGTTTCGTGCAAACAATGTACATCCGGTATTGCGCAGCGGACTCTGCGCGTCGTCGTGAAGTATTGATAATTTTTTTTCGCGCGTGGATTTTCGCGAAAATTATCGATAAACTACCGGCAGAGATATTTCTGACACGAAGCATTACATTTACGATGGCACAAGTGATATGATAACGAAGTTTCCGCTGAAGTATTATCACCAACATTTTATTCCTATCGATATAATAACCACGCGTAAAAAACCAGTAACCAAGCGTTTTCAATCGTGTGAAAAGCGGTTTCACGCGCCGTTAAATCGGAAGGATGTTGTAGGACTTATATCGTTACATTGGTAATGCACGCGGAACGATATTTATATAGCACTGCGTCGTTTTAAAATGCACGAAACTGTGTCACGCACCCACGCACGCACGCACGAACGCATGCACGCATGCACGCACGCCCGCATCCCCGTACGCATCCACGCACGCCTGCATCCACGCACGCACCCACGCACGCTGTCACGCACGCACGCCCTCACGCACGCGCGCATCCACACACACCCGCGTGCACGCACGCACACAATTTTGCGTCACATATATACGATAGGTCCATGTGAGCAACATTGTCACACGTAATATATGTACGAAGCGGAAGACCGTCTAAAGGGGACACGGGTCCAACTGTACTGTCCTACATGGGTTACATGCGAACAATCTTTATATCCCTACGATCACTACATCAGCTTATCACTCGATGCAATTGATTGATAAAATCAGCGTTGCATTTTCTCATTTAGACTCGTGGTAATCTCCATCGGGTTCTCCTGCAACTCACACACACACACACACACACACACACACACGCACGCACGCACGCACGCACGCACACGCACAC